TCCTCATTAGGCAATGTAAAAATGTGTAGAAGGTATTATACGTGTGAGGTCTGTTGACAAGCACTCTACTTTTAGCTAGCAGGTACGACAGATAAAATGCTACCAAAAAGCACAGAAGATATAATTCAATGTTCCAACTGTGCTGCTTAAAATCTTCAATGCAGATTGGGTTTTCAGAGAAGAACAAAGTAGGGAAAATAAAAAGAAACAACCCAAGAACACCCAAAAACAAAAAGAGAGCAGTTGCATTAACTGCATGAACTTCCTGAGTACAGCTCAACAATTGGGAGGTAGGCTCCATCACCCTTCCACAAGGAAACACCAGGTATATCTGGTGGGCGGGTCCTCTCCTCCCTCCCCAGCAGGCGGCCGCATGTCAGTGCCTGTGGGCCAGTGAGGGAGATCTCACCACTGGCCCATGAAGGCACACAGCAAGGCCGGCACTTGGATAGCGCTAGCCCTGCAGGGGCTGGCAGGGGAGATCCTGTGATCTCCCCTGGCGGCCTCGGCCATCGCGGCCCACCGGGCATTTGCCCGGTATGTCCAATGGCCAGTCCGGGCCTGGATACACACATATAAACACACTTACATATGCACACACACTAACACACATACACATACTAAAACATACACATAAACTCAGTTTGGCCTCTGAGGCTGGAGCTCCAGCTCTGTCTTTGAGGCCCTCCCTGACACAGCAGGGAGATCAGAAGAGGCCCTTTGCCAAAGTTAGATCCCAGGGCCACTCCCTTACCTTTGGTGTTATAGTTGTGACATAGTGCAAGGCAGTGACCTCCTAGTGAGAGGAGATTGTAGTGGGGGGCAGATGTGACATCACTGCCTCTTCTTCATTAGATCCTGCTCACTAGGAATCTTCAGCTATTGTTTCCAATCACACTCACTCCCATCACCTCCTTCCTATCTTCTTTTCTATCCCTGTCCTCACATAACTCTAACCCCTTTCTTCTTGTCCCACTCAATGCCATTAGACCCAACCATCCATATGATAACATCCCTTATGCTCCAATCTCTTCCTCCCTGTCGTCCTATCACACCAATCCATCTATTCCCCCCTTACTCTTATCACTATCATCCCTCACTACCTTCTTATTCTCCAATTGCTCCCTGCAATCACTATCTTCCCATCACTCTGTTGACCCTTCCCTCTCTGCCCATAACTTAAATCCCTTCCTCCTTGTCAATGTATCACTCAAATCCATCGCTCTCTTCATGTCCTCCCACTTCTATAACATCCAGCCATCCCTATGCTACCATCCTTCCTCATGCTCCCATTCCTACAATCCCCCCCTCCTTAACCCTCCAATCCTTCCCTGTACCTCCATCACTACAAACTATCCCTTACTATCCTCCCTCTCTCCCTTTATACTCTCCAATTACTACCTACCAGCCTTACCCTCTAATCACTCTATTCTCTCTTCCCTCCTTCTCTTCCCATCATTTCAATCCCTCCTTACTTTCATGGCCTATTCATCACTCCTATCTATCTCTCCCTGTCACCCTCACTCCCAGCCATCCTTATGTTTCCATCACTACCACCCTTCTCTGTGCTCTCATCAATCCAGTCTTCCCCTCTCTATCTTCCATCACTACCATTTATCATTGTGTTCCCATCTCTACCTGTCTTTCCTCCCAGTATCAACACACAAACCCTACACTCAATGACACTCATTATATTCAGCCAACCACCACACAATTACATGTAACCAACCCCCATACATAATCATACCGATCCACCAAACATAATCACAGTGAGTCAACCCCACACACATCACCCACAAGACCACTGAGGATATTGCCTAAAAGCTTGTGGGAGCAAATAAAAAACATATTCACACACTTAACCTTCCTTTCTTTCTTTTTTTCTTTTTTTTAGTGTTTAAAGCTGTTTATTGAGCAAGGCAATAACACTTAAAAGTATGTTTATAAAAGCAACATATTGTACACGCAGGTCCTAACGCCAATTTCAATGCGAACATAGTAAACCGCATGATTTAGCAATATAGTTTTCTGTAATGCAGGCTAACAACCAGCATGATGTGTAACAATGTACAGTGTTAGCAGAGACAGTGTCTTGACCATCTCCTTGCAACAGGAGATAAGGTTTTTGCTCTTATGCAATAAAACAGTAACCAGTAAACAGTATCTAACAGGTATATACTGGACACTGTAATTGTACAGCAATAGGTTTGCGAAGTATCTGTTGGCTATGGTGTCTGTGAGTGGTTAAATTCCAGTCCTCCCTTTGATGTGGGGGGCAATTGTAGGAACTGGAAAAGGGAAAAATAGAGGAAGAAGTCGCAGCAGCGAGAGTTAATGGGCCAAACG